ACATGTACATTAACACGTATCGGTCGGATAATACCTTGGTGGCCGTTTCATTTCGGCACCAAAGAGTCTGAGACAATGCATACTGTCAGTCAAGCTTCCTAATTAATTACGTGAATTCACACGTGCCATCAAAAGGAAATGATAATTGACTAAAATAGAAGCCCCTTAAACAACAAATTGTTACCATGTCGTATTCTTGTAGACAATATTTTTATTCTGAATTGTCAGTACGGTAAGTAATCCCCCTACAATATACACCATGTATTACCAGTAGGTTACAAGGGATTCTATTAATTTTATTTACAATAAAACTCGGGATTTAAAATATGTGGATATAAGAGATAATTCAATTTTTGAATCGGTACAGACTTAAAGGTTGGCGTATCCACCGTGTGAAAAGAATACTTAATCATCATATTCTGTTAATAAAATCATTCGTTGAACCGGTGGTGATATTTTTTATTTAATTTGGCACAAAAATCATCCCTTATGCCCCTTTAACTAATGCATGCTTTTTTGTTAGGCAATTTCCTATGTACTCTTTCATGTGTTCTCTTTGATGTGACTAATTGTCGTCTTAGTTACTATTAATAATCTAAATTTTGTCCAGACAAGATTCCATTCATAAGAACTTGTTGTTAGGTGTTTTATTGAAAGCGTCTTTAATATGTTAACGGAAAAAATGAAAATTAATATTTGTTTCTGTGATAATTATTGGAAACCAAACCGGACTATTATTTAGGATATTTATCGTCTACCGTATAAATATGGTAAGCAGTTTGCTTTTGGACGAGTTTACTGACACCCGTTCAATATATGAATGCAACATACAAACAGCTGACCGTATTCATGCAATAGACCATAATTATCGATTTTTACCGTAAAACAGTAACCACAATTTCTAGTTACATATTGGTATTACATACAAACAACCCCGTGAAACGTCGACGAATGACTTCGTAGTTAGTTATATTGTAAGTGTTACGTTGTTTTCTTTATTTTGACATTCTGCTAATTGAGAAAATATTTGAATAATAAATACGGGTTATTTTACAAGACATCTCTTTTGAAAATTTTCCTTGCGTTTAATTTTAACCAAAACGCCCAAATTGATTGACATGCAAAGAACAAACCATTGTGACCCTTCTTGAATGCCAACCATTTGCATATCAGAATCATTAACAATTGTGATTGTTTTTTTTAATAAAGATGTCAAACCTTTTTTGGTAATTTTTACTACTGACAATTTACAATACAAGTCGTACTGTCAAGACGACTACAGCAGGATAACAATTGGTTGTAAACTGGGCGTCTATTTTCTATCAGTGAGTTGGTTTCTTTTGAAGTCACGTGCCAATTCACATTATGAAACCTGGATTGACAGTATGCATTCCGCAGACTCTTTGGTGCGGAAATGAAAAAGCCAGCATTATATTATCGCCTTTATCGGACTGATACGTGTTCATGTACATGTACTCAGCAAAGTGTGCTTGATATCTGGTGACGAAGACTTTTAATTCATTTGTGATTTAAACCAGAAAAAATATATTAGTTGAGGTGTGATTTACCAATAATGTATGCACCGTGTGACTTATTTGTATGTATGTGAATTACTATTTGGATGGATAAAACTACACCCCGGTAAGACCAGAATCGATTTGTGCGCATTTTATCATTTTTTCGTAATATGAATGAATTTGTAATAGTTGATTAACGCAAGTATTAAAGATAGGTTGCCAGGCAACGAAACATACGCCCACAGCAGCTATATCGTTCGGGCAGTCAACAGGAGTTGTCACATATTTTTACTTTTTTCGGTAATGAAATATTTGTAATACATTAAAATCTGATTAAGAGTAACAACTCATTAAGTATTTATCAGAAAACCATTAGAATTTGTTTGGTTTTTATAAAGTTCTGTCCCATGCTAATGTTTAGTATACAAAACTTTTAACATCATGGATTTAGCTGTTTCAAGTCATAAAGATTCATTGAAAATCAATATACTTGTTCGTCTCAAGACCTTAAACTCGTGTATCAATCTGAAGTCAATCTCGGATGATAACTTTAGCCTTTAGAGCGTCAGAAGATTTTTCAAAGTGATCAAGGGCCATAACTCTGGCAGTAATTATCCGAAATCGTTGAAAATCAATATGATTCTTCATCTCATGGCCTCAAACACTGTGTATGAATTTAAAGTCAATCGGATATTAACTTTAGCCTCTAGAGCGTCCACAAGATTTTTCAAAGTGATCAAGGACCATAACTCTGGCAGTAATTATCGGAAATCGCTGAAAATCAATAGGCTTCTTCGTCTCATGACGTTAAACACTGTGTATAAATTTAAAGTCAATCGGATATTAACTTTAGCCTCTAGAGCATCCACAAGATTTTTCAAAGAGATCAAGGGCCATAACTCTGGCAGTAATTATCGGAAATCGCTGAAAATCAATAGGCTTCTTCGTCTCATGACCTTAAACACTGTGTATAAATTAAAAGTCAATCGGATATTAACATTAGCCTCTAGAGCGTCCACAAGATTTTTCAAAATGATCAATGGGCATAACTCTGGTAGTATTTATTGAAAATCGCTGAAAATCAATAGGATTCTTCGTCTCATGACCTTAAACACTGTGTATAAATTTAAAGTCAATCGGATATTAACTTTGACCTCAAGAGTGTCCACATGTCTTTTTGAAGTGATCAAGGGCCATAAGTCTGGCAGTAATTATCGGAAATCGCTGAAAATCAATAGGCTTCTTCGTCTCATGACCTTTAACACTGTATATAAATTTAAAGTCAATCGGATATTAACTTTAGCCTCTAGAGCGTCCACAAGTGATCAAGGGCAATAACTCTGGCAGTAATTATCGGAAATCGCTGAAAATCAAACTATTCGTCCCATGACCCTAACCACTGTGCATAAATTTAAAGTCAATCGGATATTAACTTTAGCCGGACAGACGGTCTGGGGGGACAACAATACACGAAAACATTTCAATGTGGGCGTATAAAAATATAGAAAATGAAATGAAATGAAATGAAATTTTGCCCGGACAGCGGCACTACGGCCTACTCTTATATCGAATTCCAACTGCCAAGGGATCTTTTTCGTGCACGCCAATCTGTACACGGGACCTCGGTTTTCCGTCCCATCCGAACGACTAGACAGCTTTCCTTGTCAGGCCCTCCGTCCTGCATCACTGACAAGGGGAAACCACGCCGGAAAATCTGGATGAACTTTCTCGGCCAATGCATAAAAATATAGAACATATTAATGAAGTAATAACGCATTGGTATCTTTTGGCATATTCTGTTTAGAAGAGGATGAATAGTACCCGGGGTTTCCCGAAAAATGTGTTTATTCCTGTTCCGATTTCGAACTAGCCGTCAAATATTCGTGATTAATGGAAAAATGCCAACGTAGTAACTGATCTTTAATTATTAAAGTGCTACATGTATTTCACCTAAAATAAACGACGAGAGGCATGTTTTAATTAAAACACCGAGTCACACCGTGTTTTCAACACCGAGGCAGTGCTATCATGTCACTCGATATTCACTCGGTAAATCATGGAATTCCATGATAGAAAACACGGTAATATCGTGTTTGGTCAAACTTTCACGATCTCCGAAACTGTATACCAGATATATACACTGTTTGCGTACAAGGGGTGGCCATTTTGTCCAGCCGATTTTGGTCCAATTTTCACGAAATTCGAACTCAAACATCATTAAGGTTTAACAGTGATATATTCAAATGTTTTTTTAAATCAGATAAAAATTAGACCTCTAATGGGTCCACAAGCTAAAAACATGATTTTTCGTACAATCAGGGGCCATAATTCAGGAAGTTACTGTCCGATATGGGCAAATATCGAAAGGAACTGAGATCTTTGGGTTATAAACTTACATTTCAAGTTTCAACAAAATCGGATAAAAATTGTGACCTCTATAGGGTCCACAAGCTAAAAACATGATTTTTCGTACAAACAGGGGCCATAATCCATGAAGTTTCGATCCGATACATGTCAATATCGAAAGCAGCCGAGATCTTTTGGGGATAAACCTATATTTGAAGTTTCGTTGAAATCGGATAAGAATTGTGACCTGTAGAGAGTCCACAAACAATTGTGGACGGACGGACGGACAGGGGCGACGGCATAATACGTCCACATGAAAATTATGACCTCTATAGGGTCCGCAAGCTAAAAACACGATTTTACGTTCAATCAGGGGCCATAATTCAGGAAGTTACGGTCCGATCGATATGTGCGATTATTGAAAGGAACCGAGATCTTTGGGATATAAACTTACATTTCAAGTTTCAACAAAATCGGATAAAAATTGTGACCTCTATAGGGTCCACAAGCTAAAAACGTGAAGTTTCGATCCGACACATGCCAATATCGAAAGCAGACGAGATCTTTTGGAGATAAAACTATATTTCAAGTTTCGTCAAAATCGGGTAAGAATTGTGACCTGTAGAGTGTCCACAAACAAATTGTGGACGGACTGACGGGGGTGACGACAATATACGTCCACATGAAAATGTGGGCATATAAAAATTGTGACCTCTATAGGGTCCACAAGCTAAAAATGCAATTTTCTGTACAATCAGGGGCCATTATCCATGAAGTTACAGTCCGATACATGCCAATATCGAAAGAAACCGAGATCTTTGGGAGATAAACCTATATTTCAAGTTTCGTTGAAATCGGATAAAATTGTTATCTGTAGAGAGTCCACAAACAATTGTGGACAGACGGATGGACGGACGGACAGGGGCGACAACAATATACGTCCACATGAAAATGTGGGCGTATATAAAGAGGCCATTTCAGAATAATGAGGAGAAAGTTACTGATTAATTACATTAGGTAACATGTTTAACATTGAAACCTGACAATCATTTCTGACACTGATTCATACTTCAAACTTGTTTACATGAACAACATAAAATTATGTCAGATTATCTACAGTATTTTGATTATTCTTACATGTTACAATGAGCATAGTCCATTAGATGTTTCATTGTTATTAGATGGTGATTTAGTGCTTCTCGAGGCAGAATTCTTCTTTCTTGGTCTAGAGTTAACATTCTCTTTAAAAGATCAATAAATTCCCGTCGGTCAACTTTTTCTGCCAAGAGTTCACTCCCCTCTAGGTCTGTTGGCACATTGATCTGTGGAAGGAAAGCATACAGAGTATAAAATAACATTTTAGGAGAATTATGGGTTATAAATCAATCCAATGAATTAATAAAATTGACATTTAATGATAAAATAAGTGGCTTTGCTTGGACCGTTATAAGATTTCTCCCTACTATGGCTTATAAAAGGGAACACAAATTTAAATAATCTTTAAGGAGATTATAATATGATTTGATACTTCCACACCTAGAAAACGCCAGATTTAATTTTGCATGCCGCATACATAATTCTTAACAATATTTACTGTGTAAATCAATTTTAAAAAGATAACTAAACCTAAATCATAGACAGAACAATTCAATTCATGTTTAATATCAGTTTTGTATCAAGGAAGAGATGACATATAAGCATATCTTGTAAATTCCATTATGTTTTGAGGAATTTTATTTGGCACTAGTGTAGACAAATTTCCTCATTTTGCTATCTAATTATTATGTTCAAATGAAATGAAATGAACTGATATCTATAGATATTGTAATACTATTTCTTTCATAGTAATTTTTCCAGAGTATTTTTTCTTTAGTTTTATAAATGAAATCAAATTGCATGAAATAACAAAGATGTTGTAAAATCCGTAAAGTTCTGTTTATATTACTATTGTACTATTATCCCTCTACTGCCAAATGTCATTTCAAGAAAATTTTAAAATAATAAATCGCAACAAACAAATTCTTGATCTTGATATTTTCTTTTTCAATCTAACAGTATGTGTTGTGCATTAGTTTAATTTCCATACCTGTCCTATATCATCTAGGCAGTTAAAAATATATTTTCTGGCTTCTTTTGATTTGATTTTTGTCTCTGCTTCATGTTCTTCTGGTGACTGAAACAAATCATAAATACAACATTATCAAATGATCACTTTAACTGGAATACAATAAATAAGATATACATGTATAATTATATAAACCATCCCCTCGATGTATATAAAATAAAACAAGCTAAAAAGAAAGTGATTTTTTGTACAATCAGGGGCTATAATTCAGGAAGTTACTGTCCGATATGCGCGAATATCAAAACGAACCAAGATCTTTTGGTTATAAACTTACATTTCAAGTTTCATCAAAATCGGATAAAAACAATGACCTCTATAGGGTCCACAACCTTGATATACCATATTTTTACGCTGTTTGAGAACGAAGGGCTGCCATTTTGTCTGTCAATTTTGGGCTGATTTTCACGGAATTCAAACACAGTCGTCCTTAGGGTGTAACGGTGATATAATAATATGTTTTTTTAAATCGGATAAAAATTATGACCTCTATAGGGTCCACAAGCTAAAAACGCAATATCAAAAGGAACCACGATCTTTGGGTTATAAACTTACATTTCAAGTTTCAACAAAATCGGATAAAAATTGTGACCTCTATAGGGTCCACAACCTTGATATATCATATTTATACGCTATTTGAGAACGAACGGCGGCCATTTTGTCTGTCAAGTTTTGGGCCGATTTTCACGAAATTCGAACTCAGCTGTCCGTAGGGTTAAACGGTGATATAATAATACGGATAAAAATTATGACCTCTATAGGGTCCACAAGCTAAAAATGCGATTTTTTGTACAATCAGGGGCCATAATTCAGGAAGTTACGTTCCGATATGTGTGAATATCGAAAGGAACCGAGATCTTTGGGTTATAATCATACATTTCAAGTTTAAACTAAATCGGATAAAAATTGTGACCTCTACAGTGTTCACAAGCTAAAAACGTGATTTTTCGTACAATCAGGGGCCATAATCCATGAAGTTACGGTCCGATACATGACAATATCGAAAGGAACCGAGATTTTAGGGTGATAAATCTATATTTCAAGTTTCATTGAAATCGGATAAAAATTGTGACCTGTAGACTGTTCACAAACAATTGTGGACGGACGTCCGGACATCCGGACGGACAGGGGCGACGACAATATACGTCCACATGAAAATGTGGGCGTATAAAAATAAAACATCCCCTCGCTGTTTGCAAACTATACGGAGAAAATGACCTAAAATGTTTTAATAGGCCTTCTGCGTTCGGTCAGAATGATATAGTGGGGCAAATATGGTATCAATGATCAAACTAGGTTCTTTGGGGCTGTTTTATCTCAACAGAACCCTACAAGACATTGGCGAGATAGGGGAGGAGAATATCATGGGGACATCTGCAATGAAATGTCTTTTAGAAATATACACATCTTTTTCTGGAGGATAAACACAGCAGTTTTCAGACAAAATTAAATATCCAACTTTGACAGGACAATAAAGTTTGATGGGACCACAATCAAATTATAATACATAATCTCCCTATTATCATACATTTCAGTTCATAATAACTCTAGTCACAGACGGTACAATTTAAACGTACCTTCAACCTCCAGAAAGGATAACTGGTATCTGTATTGTCTCGCATAAAAAATCGTGAAGTTTTTGTAGCTGAACTTAACATATGCTCAGCTGGCAGACCTTGAGTCTGTGAAATATATCGTATCTAAAAAAAGAAAGCACAATTAGTGAAACAGCGTTACAATCCACTTCATAAACATTTTCTGTATTGATGACATTCATGGAAAAAAAACAACCAAACATACATAAACCCAACATATATCAATCATGCATTATGCAAAAGCTAAATCTGCCTATTGCAGGTCTTTCTTTAGGCCTTAAATGTTATCTAAATTATCAATCAATCTGGTTAAAACACAGATCCTAATTCGTTTCGTTTTTATAATTCAAAATTTCGTTTTACTTGTTATTTAACTCGTGTTCTGAATGGTGTCAGGGATAAGCCAATGAAACGGTCTGTTACGGCGAGCATTAGGCGTGTTTTTCACGGAACTGTGGGTAATCCACTAGTAACATCAATGCTGATTGGTTAATCAAATGTCTGACGTCATAAGGTCATAAGTCGGTCTTTTGACCCCTGACGTGACCTATCGCTACAACTTGTCAGATCTTCATGTAGTGTAGGCCATCGAAAGTATAAAAAAAACCAAATGAAATATAGATCTGTATTTTAATCAGATTGAATTATCAATTAGAATAAGACCATAAACAACTTTTGACACCATTGTTATCCTGCGACATATAGTGGATTTGAATACGTTTTGTAATGGATGATTTTTTTGTAATGGATGATTTAACGTAAAGATAGGTTGCCAGGCAACAAAACATACGCCCACAGCCGATAAATCGTCCGGGCAGTCAACAAGAGTTGTCGCATATTTTTAATTTTGTCGGTAATAATCATTTATAATACGCTAAAATCTGATTAAGAGAGAGAGAAAGAGAAATGGGGTTTAACTTTAACATCTACTCGACACAAACTAGGTCATTTAAGGACTAACATATGGTTTAATTTTATTTCAATAATTCGCTTGCTCGTAGGGGTCTTTAGCAATGGGAGGAAACCGGAGCACCCGGAGAAAACCCACGAGGTGGGACAGGCGACCCTACTCCTTGTCACGTACAACCGGGGATTCGAAACCACGCCAGTTGACTCAATGACAGGTCTTATGATACAGCGCGCACGTGCTAACCATTCGGCCATCCAACCCCCCAAAATCTGATTAAGAGTAACAACTCATTATTAACCCTTTTGGTTTTCCGACACACGCGCTTTACGGGGATAGCGACATTAATGTCGTTTCACCGTAAGTCGCCAAAGTAACAATGTACACGATTGGCTGTATGAGATAATTCTATTTCTATCAACTAATGGGTGAAAGAAATGCATGATCTAATTTTTAAGAACGGTAACTCTTATATTGTTTTGATTTGAAGCCGGATATTACCGTTACTTAGTGATAACATAAACAGACGGTCCGGTCTGGAACTGTCAATAACATGGCGTCTGCCACGAAACCCCGTAAGCGTCCTCGCGCTAATACGTTTACTGTAGTATGATGTTGTTGACATGATCCATATTTCTGATGAAGAAAATTGTTCGTCTGACAGTGGCAGCGATATTGACATTGATGAACTGTCTGCATACGAGTCAGATTCAAGTGAATCAGATCGAGAATGTCAAGAACGAGATGTAAATAATGTAAACAAACCAAGAAGATGCTCGACGAAGTCGACAATAAATATTAGGCCTAATGACGTTGAAAAACTAGTACATCAAGATGATAATTTTGGTACAGAAGACCAATTAGACGACATTTGGATACATGTGAATGATGGGCAAAATGACAGGCCCCCAATCTTACATGATTTTACAGTCGAGTCCGGGTCTGTGTGGAATCCAGAGAACTGTCATGAACCTGTGAAGTATTTTGATAAATTTTTTGAATCAACCAATTTTACAAATAATAAATCTCTTTGGCAGTTTTTTGTAGACGAAACAAACAAATACTTTCAATATAGATATGATAAATATGAAAATATACCGCCCAGATCTAGACTGCCTTTATGGATTCCAACTGATGTACATCAAATGAGAGCGTTTATGGGGTTGATTATAAATATGGGCTTAGTACGAAAGCCTACATTAGAACAGTATTGGAATGTGAAAGACTTATCCCAAGAGACACCAATATAGAAACACTTTCACGTATGAAAGTTTTAAACTACTCCTTCATTGTTTTCATGTCAGCGACAGTTCGATGGAGCCGAAAAAAGGAACTTTTAATTATAATCCCATTTACAAATTTCAGTCCGTTTTAGACCATTTTAATACGTCTTGGGCACGTGTATATCTTCTGTCATGTAACATAGGTATAGATGAAAGCATAGTTGGTTTTAAGGGCAGACACGATCTTGTGAACTACATAAGAATTAAAAAACATCATCAGTGGGGACCAAGAGAATATAACCTGTCTGATTCTAGGACTGGATATTTGTATCAGACCTTATACCACACATCAAGTATAAAAACTTCACAATATGGACAGCCGTATGATGTATGTGATAAATTGTTGAGAAACCACGGTGGAAAGTATCATCATTTAATTGTAGACAATTACTATACTAGTATAGACTTATGTAATAATATGTTGTCTAAACAAATATATGTTACAGGCACGGTTCGTTCAAACTGTAAGGGATTGCCCCCAGGAATCAAACAAACTTTTAAAAAAAAAAACGAAATTATTGCTGTACGCAAAGGTCAGTTGTTGGCAGTCAATTGGTACAATCACAGACAAGTTAGGTTTTTAACAACGCATGGTTCCGCTAATGATGTCAAGCTAACTAAGAAAGACAACAGACTCGTTCCTCAGGTAGTGAACGAGTACAATCACAGTATGGGAGGGGTTGACCTCAGTGATCAAATGACAGATCATTATGCAGCAGAATTGAGAACTGTAAAGTGCTGGCGGAAAGTTGTCTTCCATCTTATTGACAGAACTGTAACTAATGCATATTTGTGCTATAAGAACAATAACAATATAAATGGAAAAAAACTCAATCATCTCAACTTCATGATACAGTTAGTAGACGGACTTATAAATGGCTATAAACAGCCACACAGAAAAACTGGTCGTCCCAGCCTCACAACTCAAAACAGAGTACTTTCTAGCATACAGCATTACTTAGAATCTATTCCTGATAAAAAGCATAAACAGTGTGTGAGCTGTGCACAATCAAGGGATGTAGGGTTTAAAGGTACGCGTACAGTTCCTCCCAAATTTTTTGGACTGAAATTGCGGCGACGCGGCGAAAAAAAAACACTCCAAATTCTCTTAGATTTCACGGTGAAATTTCACTTGATTCCGCGGCGATTCTCTAGGAATTTGCGGTGTTTCTCTAGGAATTCGCGGTGTTTCTCTAGGAATTTGCGGTGTTTCTCTAGGAATTCACAGTGTTTCTCTAGGAATTCACAGTGTTTCTCTAGGAATTCACAGTGTTTCTCTAGGAATTCACCGTGTTTTGCCGTGCTTCCCGCAAGGAATTCGCGAGCCTACCTTAAGCTAGGGTCGAACTACATGTAATATTGTCTATAATAAATTGAAGGAGTTGTAATATAGTAATGCTCCCGGGAAAACGTGTACATGGGATGAAACGACCTGCTCCCTGTATAAAGTACAGGCCGTTTTGAATAAAAAATGAGTTAGGTAATCTCGGAAAGACATTTACCGGCATTCTGTATCGGTTACGAGTTTTTTTCCCAACGCTCTGTATACATGTACATACATAACGCCGGCCAAAATGTAGCCAAAATAAACAACTTACAATTTTTTAAATGTATCATTACATCTTCGTCTATAAGTTAGATGTAACCCAACAATTATTGGCTGCTATCAAATCCAAACTTTAAATTCTATAGATGATAATTTACAAATTACTCCATTACACACAGTTAATCTAACTCAACCCTCCATAAATCACAGTGCCATAGATCACAATGCATTGCCATAAATCACTCCGCGAGGCGGTTAACCATTAGTTATGTGGTCAGAAACGCGCGAAAACATGAGCTGTTGGGTTTGACACGGGGACTATATTCTTAGCAAATCTTGACTGTCACCGGTATATGATAATAATGTATTATGACGTATTAAAACAATATAGGTGGGAGGGGGATTTTGAGCAGCCGTAGAAATCTCCGCTCTGACAATATACATCTACTTTATGTCGCCCAATTCATTTCGGTGGAAGAGGATATTGAGTAAAGCCATTTCACACACAGAGACGTGTGTGCGCATGTCATATATTTATACAATGGCCACATGTGTTAATTCTCGCCTTCACCCCGTTATAATTTACTTATTTTGAATACACTTTCTGAATGATTCAATTATTTTGTACGAATCCATGACCACAATAAAGTGTTATTTTATTAAGTTAATAATTGCGTTTGTTTTTAATATTTTAGACATTAGTACTGGACTACTCGAGAGTCGAATCAATAGAGTGATGTTTTAATTGTTGTTTTAATAAATTGATAATTATGTTTGTTTTAATAGGCATCTGTTTTCTTTGAGATTATAAAATGTTATGTACTTACCCGTGGTATTTTTCACCATGAAGCACATCAAAGAAAATCAGTTAAAACAACGATAACTGAGTAGTGATTAATTCGTATTATCTGTACTCACCCGTGTTACAGGTACTAGCTGCAATAATTCTTAATCACGGCTACAATTGACACTCTATTCGGGGCTTTGAGCAAGTAAAATTGCGTGGAAATAAGTAATTATGTTACAGTTATTCTGTATTTTCGAGCAAAACGGAAGACATCAGTAGTGGACTACTCGAACCAATAATAAAGAGTTGTTTTAATAAACTGATAATTGTGTTTGTTTTAATATGTTTCTGTTTTCTTTGAAATAATAAAGTGCTATGAACTTACCCGTGAAAAGGGATGTTTTCTTAGGGAGCTAGACTTTGTTTGTATAGAGAAGAGCTTGAATCTGATGATTACATGGTATTAACCACCTGAATGGGTCAAATTTAAACAATGACATGGCTTCCTGTAGATTTGTCGAAAGCCTTTGTCTGTTAGCTTGGTGGTTGAGAATTCGCTAGCGATTCTCAAAGATTCCACCG